TAAAATGATGATTTCTTACATGATTATAAGTCGATTTCCCTTATCATAATTGAGCTTATAAAATTGTATAATTACCTAGAAAATCCAATTGCATCAGTTGTTCTTCACGAGTAATTGATGTTATAATTTGATGAATTCTGCAGCCATATATTCAAATGTATGCATCATCAACTTGTTAACGTATTTCTTTTTCCATATTATTGGCACAGACTGGCTTGGTACACAATAGATTACTGTCACAGAGTCAATTACTTCTGTCAAATTTCACCCAATGATGACATTGAGAGACCACTCAGCCAGCCACAAATGAGTTTTGATGGATGTACAGAACCATTTTAACAGAAGTTTTCCAGATCCCTCACATGCGTGGGACCCACCTCATTAAAAAATGACCCCAAAAATCCCCACCCCCACCCATGTTTATGCGTGTTCTGTAGGGGTTCTATAGAACCCCTACCTGGTAAGTGGTACCCAAGCATGACTTGCCACAAATGCATACGAATATACTGCACAAAGGCACAATTCAAAAGCAGTAGGCAGTAGGCACAAATGAAAGCATAGAAGGCAGTTGTTACACGAGCCTCCCCAATCTCTATTTCTGTCCTACAAAGGAATGACAGGGAAGGCTGCAGGAACACAGCTGCTATATAAAGAAAAGAGTATTTTGTTTTTGTGAAACTTTGCAGTGAAGAATGATCAGAATGCAGTTCAAGAATTGGGCTATTAACTTTTTCGTGTTGATCTGCAATTTCAAATAATGATTTCTAGCTGGAGAGGCCTATTTTGGTGGTAATCCTTGGTCTTCCAAAAGCTTTAATGCTGACTAACTTTTCTCTTCTCCGAGTTGAGCTCCTAGGATTAGAACCAAGAAAGTGAAGCAAACAAACCCTTTATGCTGCTAGTTTCAACTTTGATACGTAATCTATGAAATAATATTGTTGCTAGCTAATAGCTTTTCTTGAACCCACATCCATATTGATCAACATTGTACGAATGTCAGTATTTAAAGAAATTACTTGAATTTATTAATTCGGAGTTGTGATCTGCAAAATATCGTGGCGGTGGGGGCTTTCAAGGTTGGGATTCAACCTTTTTTATTTTATTTTTTTATTTTGGGCAAACTTTGCATTAATTCTAAGCTTGCTTGCCACAGCTCGAAATGTGTTGGGTCATCGGTAGTTGCAATCGTCTAACAATCATTTGTCCGATTACTCTGATCCTCACACGATGTTTCTTGAACTTGATTTGCAATGCAAAGGCATAAAGCTATAGAACACACACAATAGGGGATGAGTGAGTATTTTTTTGACAATATTTTACTCACATGGGACACACAATAAGAGGATGGGTGGGTATTTTTCTTGCAATATTTTACTCACATAGGACACACAATAGGGGATGGGTGAGTATTTTTTTGACAATATTTTAATCACATGGAATCCACGATAAGAGGATGGGTGGGTATTTTTCTTGCAATATTTTACTCACATGAAATCCACCAATGTATACTGATGTGAGATGGTCTAGGTCTCAACCTAGTTTACTTTTTTGCTTCCACTCCTTAGTGACGGTGTGATTTGCAAACAAGTAAAAAGTGAGTGTTACAAAAAAAAAATAATAATAAAAATAAATAAATAAATATTTTACAGACCTCAAACTTGGCCAAACAGCCTAAGCTTGAATCTTGGGGTCTGTTCTCCCCTGTATTGTCATCTTCTGCCCATCTTTTTCTTTCACTAAAGGTCATCATTCTTCATTAATTATTTATATTTTTATTTTTTTAAAGGTGAGTATATATTAATATCTTTTATATATGTCTCTCATGAATCAATTTCATACTTCTCTCCATCAAATTCCAAACCATGTTTATAGATTTCCCTAATAATAAACCCAAGTGAAATCTAACTATATTTAAAATAATTAGGTCATGTTTGGAAAACAAAAAATTTAGATTTTGACTCTAGTTTTAAACACATAAGCCATAATCAATTTTAGTATATAGTAGTTTCATTTTTTTATATCATTAAGCCAAATTATATTATATTTAGCGTTACTAACATAGTTTAAATCGGACTGGACTGGCAGATTCAAATGCAAAACCGGAAACCAGACCAACGATTGGGCCGGTTGTTGTCATTGGACTATTTTAGCAAAACCGGTCAAACCCGGAAACCAGCCGAATATTTGAGATCCCAGAGACAGAACCGGTACTCTGTAAAAATCTATAATTGGAAAGCAAAAGAGGAACTTTGACATTGGATTCCAGCTATAGTTTAGTTGCATATTTTACACAACTGCAAGGAATTTTGTATAAAATGAAAACAGAAATTTCTTTTCCTAAATTTGTTCTAGCATAAATTATTTTATTTATGCAAAACCTTAGTTCAAATATGATTTGAAGATTTCGATCAGTTGAGCGACACCAAGGGAAAGCCACCCGTAACAGAAGCAGTATCTGTTTCAACAGTGAACCAGCAGCTTCAGCCAGGGCCTCAGAACATCAACAGATCACAACTTAAGCAGCAACACAGGTCCACAGCAGCAGGAGGATGTGATGGATTATTGGCTTCTTTGGTAAGGTTAACCTTTAAGCATTCGCACAGTACCAAAAAATAAGCTAAAATCTTGTCTATCTAATACTGCATATCAAACATGCCTTAGTGGCTAAAGGAACTTGTGTGATTGATGTGAATTTTAGGATATTATGGACCCTATGGTCAACAATAGAGTAGCATGTTATGATTATATAATGAAAATCTTTCAAATGTAAATGCTACTCCTTGGAGAGATGGCAATTATCAGTTGGAACGAGTCTTGTCCAAGTCAAAGCCCCATAATCTATTTGATTTATAATTGTATGGTTGGTGGATTTAAGAGCTCTCAAGGTTTACGAATTTATGCAGAACATATTGATCGAGGGAGGGGCCATTGAGGTATTCTTTTGTAGCTCAGGAAACATCCCAAGGATAATGTGAAAAATGATTAGGGTAACTGATACTCAGTCAGATAATTGATTCTAGATTTGGTCAAAATCATGTCTGGCTCCACTTTCTATAAGTTCTCATCTTAATTCTCTTAGAAGAGTGTACAGTTCTATTAATTTGCTACCCATCTGAAAGCAAAAGGACAGATTATTAGTAAATTTCATAAAAGTTCCTATGAATTTTATGTCACAGCTGATACAAATGAATATACTTTCTGATTAGCAAGTGAAATTCTTCCATGTACATCCAAAATTCATAATAAATATCCAGATATAAGCCTATTTTGATAAGCAAAGATCAAATTCTTGTTAGAAGCGCTATGGAGAAGAATTTATTTGGCCTCTGACTTGAAGATACCATGTGCTATTTGGTGACCATCAATATTATTGACTCAAGAATGCGCCCTAATGGGAGGAAGGTAGTGATAGAATACATGACATGAAAATAATACTACGGTTTTAATATCAAAAGATCATTAAATGAACTAGATTCTTGAATAGTTAACACGTGAATATGATATATTTTCCTTTCCCGAAGGCTACTTCATGCAAAGCGTCAAAAGGATTTCTGAGAGTTTAACAACGCACCAGGAAGACAAACTACATAAAAAATACTTGACTAATGAATAATGGACCAATTCTTATAATCCATATTATCTGCAGGCAAATTGGAGATACAGTACAAAGAATCTAAACTAGAAAGACTGCTCCAATACAATGTAATTGAGAACTGAACTTGTATCCATCAAAAGAATCAGCATCAAAATGAAGGCTTAACTAGACTTTTAAGGAAATTCAGCACCTAATGAGTACTTAACGGCAAGGATTAAGAAAATCATTGGCAGACTAAATAAAATTCTAGAACATGATCATTTTCAGCATCATGAGTTAAAACAATGCAAAATCACAGGAGTATTTTTAGGCATTTCTACATATGTACTAACATAAATTTTATACAATCAACATACAAGTGTTGAACCTGAGCTGCAGATGAAGTCTTTAGAGAAGGGTATCAGCATACTTGAGGATGAAGTAAGAGCATGCATCTTTGTAATCATCAATCAACTAAACTTAAATATGGTTTTTTTGAGCAAAATACGCACACTCTTGGTCATTCTGGTTCCTTCAACCTGAGAAGACAAGAAATGAACTATATTTTTAATGTTTGAGACATCATTAGGACACGGGAACAGAAAATTTACCAGAAGAAAGTAATAAAATCCAAGCACCTCTTCAGAATATATAACATATACAACCACATCGATATGGAGAAATAAAGGTGATCAAGAAAGAAGCATCAGTCGTAACTTCACTTCAGAACAAGTACTCTAAACGATACATGACGTATAGAACTATAGCGTTCATCTGAAAATGGGGTTTGCCTCATAGCCAAAATGTCACCACTCCAATGTATGTTTAATGAACTGAATGGTCAGAAATTAGAATTTCCAGAAAATTGGTGTAAAGGAGAGTTCTTAAACATACTTGGTTTGCCTGTTTTCACTATTGAAAATGCAAAAACAGTTCTCTTCTGATTTGTGTAATTTTCCCCCTTGATAATAATCTTGACTGCAGGAACCATTTATTTTCACATGCTGAGAATCAAACTCAGAAAGAAACAATGAAAGAGGAATAAGCAGATATCGTGCCTTCTAACCAATACTAGAATGGTTAGTATTGTTGCACTCTCTTCTAATTCTGGGCTTAGCGTCAATAACGAGAGGCTTAGGCTGGTGGCAAAAACTGAGAGCCAGAAGAAAAATAAACGCTAAAACAGTAATATGATGGACAAAAGCCTACACTACAAATTATAATCCTACTCATTTGATGAACTTGTAATACATACATCAAGACAAGTATTCTTGGAACAAAATACTAGACATTCGGAGTACAAAAATTAGGAGGATATAACTCATCTAAAATAAACATCAAAAGGAATACCACAGGAGTAAGGATTAAAGTATGAAATTGTAAGGACACAAAAATGTAAAGACTAATCGCTAAATGTGGATGTTAATTAATCAGGAATTGAAGAAGACGAAGAAGCCAGGGAAACAGAATTCCAAATTTGGACAGCAGCATTCCAAATTCCGGCAGACGCCACGCCAATGCCGACAGCCTGCGGGTATCCCGGTTTGGAATCCAGTTTCATTTCCAGTTGAAGCAGCCGGGAGTAGATGACGTCGAGCTTTTTAGAGGTAATATCTGAATCAGAGTCACCTTTTTTCTGGCTTCGAGTGGTGCTGATCATTGTGAAAACAGCGTTCTGCAAATCTTGAATGACTTTGAAAGAGGCTCCTTGAGTGTCCATACCCTGCTTCTCGTAATGCGCCACCAGCTCACTCGGGCTCGGTAGTCTCCTCCTGTTCTTCTTCTTCTTTCCGGCATCATCCTCCTTTTCGGCTTGTGATTGGCTCGGAAGCGGCGTGGGAAGCGGCGGCTGCTGCTCCATTGCTTCTCTCTCTCTCTCCTGTCTACAAGAGAAACCGAGAAAGTGAAGAAAGAAAATCTGTTTTGGGAGGGACAGAAGCCCTACAATTTTCAGTTCTCGAGATTGGATAACGTCGTTAGATCGGCTAAAAAACGCAAAAGAGCGATTTTTGGTTTAATGGTTAATGCGATTTTGCCCTTGACCCCAATATATATATATAGATAAACTGATTTTTCTCAAACATTTTAAAAGAAAAAAAAAAAAGATCGAACTCCACCCTTGAGCCCCCACTGCCCCGCCATTGAAACGTCGTGAGGGAGGTAAATCACAAAATGTGCCCCATCAGGTTAGGGAATAAGAGTTTGCCCGTACACTGGTGCCCACAAAGAGTCCAATTCCGTATTTTAAGAATCGAACCCTCACAATGCGACTGTCAGCAAAACTAATATTACCTTACTCATATCCTTTGCACCACTGAATTATGCCCTAAGGGGCTTAACATTTTTTTATCATACATTTCATAAATTTGTACTTTTTATCAAATTTTATCAAAACCTACTAAAAATTTAACTTTATCTCAACCAAGTTGGAACTTAGTTATGAGATGCACTTATGAGCTTCTTATCTTATGTATTAAGATCACAAAATTCCTTGTTCCATTTCTATCTCAAATTGGCCTAGCTCGAATGGTAAGAAGATGGCACTCATTAAATTCCTCGAAGTTCCGAGTCTTTTTATTTTATTATTATAATTTTAATATTTAAATTTAATTAACTTTTAAAAATAAAAAATAGTATTATATATAAATAAATAATTAATTAGAATATGAATGAGTATATTTTAATTGTCTCTTCCATTTCGTCATGTTACTATCCCTAGTTACAAGCGTCTTAATGAAAGAAACAAGCAAGATGGCCAATTTCGAAGCATTTATTAGCTAACCTTACGTTTAGCAAGTGTTATAAACATGTTTATCAATACTTACTAAGAGTCAAATCATTTTTTGTTTTCGCATATTTTGGCAATTTAGAGGTATTATTCACTTATTAGTTAATTATTTTTATCTTTTTTATAAACTTACTAAGCATGGACTAATAGGGGTGCGTATTTTAATTTGAACTGATCCTCTCAAATCGAAACCTTCCAAAAAAAATTAATTAGGAATTGGATTTGAGAACCAATCACTGATTGGGTTCAAGTCCATTCTTGGTTCTTGAACCGAAATCATGGATACATAGATGGAATCGATTTTTTTAATAAATTTTATTTTTTTATAATTCACTGACGGGCAAAAAATTTACAAATCAATTAACTTAAACATTAAATAGGCTGCCTAGTCAACCCAATGAAAAAAAATCGAACCAAAGCCTTCGGTCCGTTTTAATTTACCCCTCCCAAAAAAAATGGACCCAACCCAAAATCAATCTAAGTGAAAAGATAAAATGTTGTGTCCCAAAACCTAAATCCACTTTCAACTTCTCTCCTTCATGCCCTCTAAAGTCTTTGTGATTTCCGTCTCGTAGACCTTAAATTCAGTTGACAATCAATTCTGTCTCCTAGAACATGTAATTTTTGTAACTCCGACAACACATGCTTATCGTTCGTAACTTTTAACATGATGCTATTTTTTAGGTTGATGGTTATTTGCTTCGATTCATCAATCATAAGAATTTTCATAATTGTCCTTTTTTATTTGGAATAAATGTGCATTTCCATGTTGTACGGAACTCATACTGATCTCATGCATTTTTCTTTTTCTACAGCGCAAACGTACAAAATCATTGACAAGTAATAATGTGTTGAGAAGATTATCATTCTATGATGAATAAATTCTTAATGAATTGTACGAGTTCTTTATCAGATTCGAATATAATGTAACAAAAAAGAAGATTATATTTAATCCAAGTCATTCTTTGAACTATCTAAATGCATTGTTTTGTAAGAATGTAAGTGGTTAATATATTGGATTATAAATCCACCTAATAATATCATATTTCCAATTCTCAGTTAAACATATTCTAGGCATTACCTGATCATATTTCTATTCCAAATTCATATACAAAGTAATACATTTATGCACATGATTATCAATATGATTGCACACGGCATACATGTTATTCTGAGCATCTATTTCCCGTTTGTTAAACTTGTAGTGTTCTAAACTCATTGTGAAACTCCAAACACTATAACAAGCAACTAATTATTTAATTGGTAGTCAAGCAATCAAGGAATGCAACAAAAATAATACAGGATTAATCAAGTACTACTTGGACCAACCTGTCCCGACGTAGGGATGTAAACAAGCCGAAGTTTGCGACTTGGGTGTGACTAGGATAAAAATGGATCATGTTTTTTTGTCCCTAGCAGAGTTGAACCGAGCCAAGTTGAGCCAAAGCTCAACTAAAAGAAGTGGGCTCAGCTCGAGCCTTTTTAAGCTTTTTTGAAATTTTAATTTTTTCTAATGGCAGTAACTCCCTTTAAAATAGGCAGTTGTATAATTGCCTTTTTAAAAAAGGCAACCGTTACTGCTTTTATTTTACAAGTAGCCACAGTTTACTTTTAAAAAGCAACTGAAATTCAAGACACGGGCCATTTCGACTTGTGTAGTGTGGCTGACATAGGTCAAACTTTGATATTTCAACTAGTATAAGAGATTCAAATCGATCCTAGACCCACTTCATCTTGATGAACCAACCACTGAACATACCTCTATATTTTGATGAAAGCAATTAGACTTACTTGAAAGTGAGAATGAAAGCTTTCTTAAAATGTGTGGATGAGAGAAATTGGGTTTGTGTAGAAAAAGGATGGACCTATTACTGTTGTTGCCAGTTGGTCTACAACTGTCTTAGATGAGTGTAACTGAAATAGTAAAGGGCTTCATACTCTATTTATGACTGTGTCCCCCAAAGAGTTTAGGAGAGTATCCAGGTACGAGAGTGACAAAGAGGTATAGGAAATCTTAGAGACTACACATAAGGGAACCAGGACTGTTAAGAACTCCAAACTGCAAATGCTGATTACTAGGTTTGAAGAAATTAGAATGAAGAATGATGGATCATTCGAATATTTCTATAAGAAATTGAATGACGTAGTTAACTCTAGTTTCAATTTAAGTGAGAAAATTTCGGAACTAAGATCATTCAAAAAGTTCTTATATCCTTACCTGAAAGGTTTAGAATTAAGATCACGATTATTGAAGAGAGCAAAGACTTAGATGCATTTAAGGTAGAGGAACTAGTTGAATTCAAACCAAGGAAGAACAGGTCTATAGCCTTTAACATAGTTGGGAAGAAGAGTATGCCTTTACTGATGCTGAGACCCTTAAGGATGAGAAGATAACTTATTTCGTTAAGAAATTAAAAAAAAAAATCTTTATGAATAAGAAGAAATCAAAAGAGAGATATTTGGGTTTTCCTAGTGAGAAGACTAAGACTAGGATGTTTAGAAAGAAATCTAGTTAGTTAGACGTCATGAGTTTCAAGGTTTTGATCACTTTAGAAGTGAATACCCTAGCTAGAAGAAGGCCCAAAGCAAGGAAAAAGATAAGGCGATGGCCTCAATTCTAACTAATGATGAGTCTAATTGTGGTGACTAGAGTGGTTCCTTAAGTAATGAGGATGATAGAAATTGTGTTGCCTTTGCATCTATAGTTAAGAGTGATTTAGATAAAGATAGTGAAAAGATCTAGAATGCAAGTCATAGTGAGGGTGCCGAAGTAGAATCAAAAGAAGAGAAAAATATTCATGGGGCTTATGAATAACTGTTTCAAGAGTCTTAAGTTGAAAAAGATCAATAGAGTTGTCTTGAAGAAAGCTAATGAACTTGAGCTAAAGATAGAAAGACTTACACATTTAAGCTTTAGAAGTCTACCGAAAGCCTTAGTGAGTTAAGATTAGTTAATGAAAACTTAGATGCTAAGGTTAAAACACTAACAAACGACCTTAAGATATCAAATACTCAACTAGATCCCTTTTTGAACATATTTTAGAAACTTGACAATCTTTTAGAATTGAACAAGCCTGCTAGGAATAGAAGAGGTATAGGATATAATCTGACTGATCATAATAATGCTAGTACTTCGAAAATAACTTTTGTCTTTGACACCAACCAGCCCAGGTATGTTACAATTCTTGAACCCAAGAACAAGGGTATCTTAAGATAGAGACCTACTAGACAACGTAGGACCAACCAGCACAGAAATCAATTTTCAGCAACCACATAGATTTGGACCTAGGTTTATCCCTGCAAGTGTCACAATTGTGATGAGTTAGGATACACGAGGCCCTAGATGTCACAAACTTTTGAATATGAATAGAAGTTGAAATATCTCTAGTCGGGTTAACTTCCTTATTATCAAGTTAGTCACTTGACTGAGTTGATGACATAGTTGACTACGACTAATTCTGCTTTTAGGAAAGTTCGGTTAAAAAAGTGATCTCTATGGTCAGAGAGATGCTCTAAATGGCAATGTTGATGTCGTTGCTCTTCAAGCTAAGGGAGTTTGTGTACCTCAATGAGTAGGTCAGTAGGTACATGCATGTACTTTTTCATTTAGTTTACATTGTCACATGCATATTCATTTTTCCCCTAATTTTTACAATTTTTTATAAAAATGAAAAAAAAGGAAGAAATTTGAAGTGTTTTAGAAAATTATGTCACCTTATTTTAATTAACTTGAGAAAGCTTAATTGTGACCAACTATGTGTAAAACTGATGAATGGTGACAATTGATAAGTATGTTTTTACACACTTATTAGATACTTTAACAAGTTAATTATTGATTAGTAGAGCAAATATATTTATTAGATACTTTAACAAGCTAATTATTGATTAGTAGAGCAAATATATACTCACAATTGGGTAATTTTGACTTTTGTAGGTCATAAACTCCAAAAGGTAAGAGAACAAGGCAAAAGGGAGTGAAAATGGACCAAAAGTGTGCAAAAACGTGAAGTTGGGGACCAAAGTGAACAAGCCAAAAAGTTGGAGAACTTGGGTTGCAATTTTGGAAGGCAAAA